TAGATGCCTTTCAAATAAGAACCCCTATTAGCTTTCACTTTATCCCCAAGCACTGTCTTTATAGTTTAGGTGGGAGATGATGATGGGGCACCAGTTCCATCCTTGTTACTATATATAGGTTATCCTCCCCCAAAAGTTCCATAATCTGGGCCTGATCAGGTTATTATTTTTTTTCATACACAGGAATGTCACGCGGACAAGTCTGTATTTTTTCTCTTGTTTCGTTTCTTTTTTCTATCGATCATAACCGGTGTTCTGGAGCTTCGGGATATGTTTTTTTAATTCCGGGATACCATATTTTGTTCCGGGATAACAAATTTAGTAAGTCTGTATACCGTCGTAGGATGCAAGCTTATCCCCAGTTATATTCCGGATGTTACATAATGTTTCCCTCCAAATGACAAGTTCCATTCGCCTATTTATCGTAAACATTTGGGGATTCACTTATCAGCAACAAAGAGTAAATTACTCTATGATTTAAACGCATCTGATTAAAATTTGGCTTATTTCAATTTTGATGAATCGGCAAATAGAGAATTACGCGTCCTTATGCCTTAATCCGACATTAAAAGGCCAAAAACAACTAACACATACCGACATGTCACGATTTTTTCTTATAAAAGTTTGGCAAAGTACAAAAGAAATAAGATTTGGTGTTCAAGTAAGTGTCCTCTACTCCACCGCCGACACCATCAAACTCTGACCATAATTAAAGTAAGTAATGTCACGTCCCAAATTAGAACAACAAAACACAAAAATACTACCTCTGAACAAGAAATCGGTTATTTCTAATGAGAATAAGAAATCGATTATTTCCAATGGGACAAGAAATCGATTATTTCCAATGGTAACAAGAAATCGATTATTTCCAATGAGAATTAGAAATCGATTATTTCCAATGGGAACAAGAAATCGATAATTCCAATGGAAACAAGAAATCGATTATTTCCAATGAGAATTAGAAATCGATTATGAGAACAAGAAATCGATAATTCCAATGGAAACAAGAAATCGATTATTTCCAATGGGAACAAGAAATCGGTTATTTCCAATGGGAACATGATGGTAACCATAAACCTACCTACATATCTCAGATCCCAGAATATAATCAACTTAAATTCAACTCTTGACGTCCGCCGACAGATTGTACAAAAAAAAAACATCAGTGAATGACATCCTATCAATTGGTTAGCTACATAATTTTGTCTTATCCTAAAATGAAAGGTGCTCTCCACTTTTATACAAAACTGTCTATTTACGGTAAGAGATTGCGTGAAACACACCCAAGGGAATCACGTCTTCAACACAAATTGAGAATTGGATACAGCAGTGCTGAATAATGTTAAATCCTAGCTGAATTAATGAAGGAAGCGACTGACAAAAATTGGTCAAAAAAAAGGTAATAATATCAAAGTCTATATAGAGGTGTGTTCACTAGGCTAGTAATTCAATATAATTCACATTGGGATGGTTTCAAAAGAAAACCATATACTTGTGTATTATTCTGACAGAGATTTTTTTTTATTGAGATTACTACAAGGTCGACTATCTAAAACCGATCTTACAGGCAGTCACAACGCTTCAGCTACTCCGCACGTGATGAATAGATAAGCACACATAACCTATTGTTCATGATTCTTAATACAGTTCTTAATATAATATGATATTAAGATCCGTCCTCTCCTGAAGTGAAAATCATGGAATAACGATTTTGAAAAATTCCAAATAGTTTAGAATTACTTTGAATATCCTTCCCTATCAAGTGTTTCTTCGTTTAGAAAATTATATTCTTCCGCTTTGTACATTATTATAATAAATTCTTAACTAACTACACGATCGAACTCGTTCTTTTGCTATGAATTATTCAATTGTTCTCAGAAATGTAGGTGGCTGTGAACTGAACTGCAGTATATGTCAGGCCTAGATGAAACAATTTCAGGGCTCTGCAGTCATGAGAATTATTGAATGCATGGTTGACAGATCTTTCGACAGAATATTGGCATACCTATAGTAACTATACCAAACTCTTGGCCGATCTATTTTTGTATTTCGCAAAGCTCAATTTACTAAAGAGACAACCCGGAAACTGCCGGTAACAAACCAATAGGTTTTACTTAAAGATATATTGATGACAAGTCAATTCAGGTGTGACAATTGCAATTTTTCTTTTGTGAATTAAACATTTCCTAATGATAATATTTCTGATTTCTGAATCTGTTTTGTAGAATATATTCCTGTTGAGATCAATGACTTAACTTCTGTATGTAGACAACTAATTAAAATGCAACACAGACTTTTGAGATGTGTGACGGAAAATTTACATTCAAATGGAAATATTCTTTCAATGAGCGATATGAAATTAGATGTGTTGGATGCCGATTGGCTTCACCACACACAATTTGCTATTTCTTTGTTATTGAAAAAAGTCGTAAGTAATAGAACAACCACCAAAACCGCCATCAAACATTTCAGCTTCCGCTCTGGTTAAAGGTAGATAACTCTTTTGAAGATTGTACAAAAGATACACACGTGAATAACACGTTTTCATAATTTTGAGTAAGATACAGTAGAGCCAAACAATTGATAAACTGTATCATGCAGCTGTTTCGTCCTCCTAGGACTCGTCAGCAATGCTAAGGACATATTACTTAGAAGCCTATGAGGCTACTGAGGAAAATCCAAAGTGATCAAAAGAAAAGTCAAAATCTAGACGGAGGGAGGTGCATCAGCCCCATAATTGAATATTTTTCGTAATCGTTATACACCAGATAATTTTAGGACAGTGTCAAATACATGTGCATTTTCTGAACCGTGCCAGTATTCGAGAGAATTCAAACGTGGCAAGCAGATTGCGGCAAAACCTCGACTGGACGTAAAGTCTACCAGCAGTGTTTACAACCTGCTAACTGAAGTGTTTACCATTCATCCGCGTTTTCATAACAGTAAGTCTATAAGAGCGTATAGATGGATATCACTTTATCTAACACATTTGTGATTTAAAATTCTCTACCTATTCTTCTCCTGTTTTAAATATTTTATGCGATTTATTGACAGAAAACACTTTTAAAGAGAAAATTTATATTTTAAACAATAAACGTTAATGCAGTGATTCTTCAGTTTGAAAGGGCTAAATAAATAAATAAATAAATAAATCGATAGATAGATAGATAGGTAGGTAGGTAGGTAGGTAGAAGATGGATGGATGGATGGATGGATGGATGGATGGATAGATAGATAGATAGATAGATAGATAGATAGATAGATAGATAGATAGATAGATAGATAGATAGATAGATAGATAGATAGATAGATAGATAGATAGATAGATAGATAGATATGATGGATGGATGGATGGATGGATGGATGGATGGATGGATGGATGGATAGATAGATAGATAGATAGATAGATAGATAGATAGATAGATAGATAGATAAATAAAATCTCACAGTTTGAATATACGATTCAGTGTAGTAGGGTAATACACAGGAAGGAATTAGTTATCGAAATGTATTTCATTGAACACGGCATCATCAATGAATAATTGTTTTCTAAAATAAAATCTTGGACGTCAACAAATACGTTTTCGTTTTCATTTTTTCGAATGGTGGATTGGTGACATTCCATAATAAGATAGATTATGCTTGTAATAAAAACGAATTAACTCACTGTTGTCGTTGTAAAGAAAATGCATTGCAGCTTGTAAATACTAATAGGCATTATCCTCAAGAATAACAGAATAGAGAATTACCAATAGTTTTATTAGCGAATTAATGAATTTGCAATAAAAGCTTACATTATGAGTGAAGAGTTGGACATGGGAGTACAATGTACAATGTCTGCAAGTCTGTAGGGACGTGTAAGAAGTGTTCAATATCAGGTATTTCCAATGCAGTCTTCAGTACGTAGCTATAGACTGTTGGTCTCTTTATACTTCAAGTAGAGTTGTATCAAATATTTTATATGTAATCACGGTAGGAAATAATTCTCTTTTTACAAGTATGGTATTCTACGTTTTAAATGAGTAGGGAGGGAAATGGCTCTTATGTATTCAGATAAGATATATTACGTATTATTTGAGTAGGGAAGGAATGAAAAGGCTGTTGTTTTAGATAAGATATTGTGCATTTTCATTGAGAGTGGAATGAAGGTCTCTTATGTATTCAGATAAGATATTCTACGTTGTTTTAATTGAGCAGAGAAGGATGGTAATATGATGTGGTGATAATAGTATTCAGAAATATTTTAAGGAAAAAGATAAAGTAAATATTTATACATAATTTACCAAGCTGCCTTCAATTCATTCGTTTGTGTAATTTCGTTTCTTTTTGCAGAAAAGAATAGAGACTAGTGTTGGCAAGTTAAAGTCACCTGTGATGGTTTTGGTAGTTTCAGTTTTAATATATCTCTATATCATGTCAATAAATTAAATAATATATATTCCCTAAAGTACCAGATTTGCTTCAGTACTTTACAAAAAATACATATTATTATTTCAAACCTATTATTTTTATGGAACCCAAATGTTTTTATCCAAACCACATTTTTGAAATTCAAATACTAAGTTTTAAAAAATAAAATTGGTGATCTGATAATGTTTTTTCGTCGCGATATCTGTTGTTAAGATTTTTGTTTGATGTGCGCTTGCAGTTTAATAAAAGAAACTGCGAGACATATGAGTGGTCAGACGGGGCCAGGTGTAGATCAGATATTGGCTATGCGTAACATCTATAAATAGCTCGTGGGATTTTTCCTTGATAGGCACACATAGTCGATAAATATGAATTTGCGCCATTTAAAAAATCAATATGTAAATTCAATATTTTACACATTTTTCTCCAATAAATATATTTCGTTAAAATAGATATAGTTGATACGTATGAGTTAAACCCCAACATTGATGCAACTCCATTATTTTCCGCGTCTTACTTTTAGAAACTTACAGTGCTTCCGGACCTAAACACGACCGTACTTTGTACTATAAACAGGAACCGAAACTAAACACTACAATATTTAATTATGTTCTTTCGTCGGTTCTATTAGTAGGCTATTACTGAGTTGTCACACGCAATTGCTTTGTATATTATTACTGTGAGGAGTTAAAATGGCGGAGAGAAGACTAAAAAGGGTAATGTATTACGCCTGATCGAGATATACCTTTAGTCGAAGTAGAGATGAACTAGCATGCTTACATCAGTATACCGTCGGTGTACGGTGTCAGTTGGGATATAAACCACGAAAAGGGCCGAAAAAGAGTAATTAATAATGACGAAAAGGAGTACAGTTGTATATATATATGTGTGTGTATGCGTACAATGTAGATACACACTGTCTCTTAGTATGATCGTAATTTGCCTTCTTCCTGAATTTGTTTGTTTTTGCAAATGTCTCCAGTGTGAAGAATACTTCTGGTTCTTTTCCCTGGCAAATCTACAGGTCCGTGTGTGACGTTAGGAACAACAACACAACACATTGTCAGATTTACGTATTCCTTGCTGTAACTAGTTTTCCCGTTTCAGTATAATGTTACTGAAAAGGATGTCCTGCTGAGTGTGCCTTCTGTGGTATAAGTCAATTTGATAGCTGCTTCAAACTCGCACTAACACATGGATATTTAAATTACCACAGCCCCCAGCCCCCCCCCCTAAAAAAACCCACATAAAACTCTACAGAGAACTTCATACAGTATCCTGAAATCATTATTCTGTAGTATTTAAAAATAGTTTATGAATAAAATATTTATTTCTTACCTTTTTATATACATTGAAGTCAATTTCTTTTTGATATTTACATCTGTAGATATTTTAACATTAAAGGAATAGTGTGTCTTCACTGAGGAACAAACCTTACTTAAATGTCAAACCCTGGAATACTGGTCAGACACTCAATCAGTGTAATTCAGAGGAAATTCCATCTAGTGCAAAGCTAGATGGTGACCATATCTCTGTGTAAAAATAAAACCTGCCAGAGATGAATAACTTTAACAAATCTGTTTATGAAATGATGTACTTGTACTTCAGTGTTCTCTTTTGGGAAATTTTGAGGTCAATATTTGATAGACATGACTAGCAGGACATAGGACAGCGCCAGAAAAATGTTGCTTCACGGTATAACACCTGTAGGATTTAGGACAACACTCAGTGAAAACGTCAACTCCCTGTATATTACCTGTCGGAGTTCAGACAACACTCAGTGAAAACGTCAACTCGCTGTATATTACCTGTCGGAGTTCAGACAACACTCAGTGAAAACGTCAACTCCCTGTATATTACCTGTCGGAGTTCAGACAACACAGTATAATGTCACCTCCTTGTATATTACCTGTCGGAGTTCAGACAACACTCAGTGAAAACGTCAATTCCCTGTATATTACCTGTCGGAGTTCAGACAACACTCAGTGAAAACGTCAATTCCCTGTATATTACCTGTCGGAGTTCAGACAACACTCACTAAAATGTCACCTCCCTATATATTACACTGTCTGACAACACAGTATATGTCACCTCCTTGTATATTATCTGTCGGACGTATATTACCTGTCAGAGTTCAGACAACACAGTATAATGTCACCTCCCTGTATATTACCTGTCGGAGTTCAGACAACACAGTATAATGTCACCTCCCTGTATATTACCTGTCAGAGTTCAGACAACACTCACTAAAATGTCACCTCCCTGTATATTACCTGTCAGAGTTCAGACAACACAGTATAATGTCACCTCCCTGTATATTACCTGTCAGAGTTCAGACAACACAATATAATGTCACCTCCCTGTATATTACCTGTCGGAGTTCAGACAACACAGTATAATGTCACCTCCCTGTATATTACCTGTCGGAGTTCAGACAACACAGTATAATGTCACCTCCTTGTATATTACCTGTCAGAGTTCAGACAACACAGTATAATGTCACCTCCCTGTATATTACCTGTCGGAGTTCAGACAACACAGTATAATGTCACCTCCCTATATATTACCTGTCGGAGTTCAGACAACACAGTATAATGTCACCTCCTTGTATATTACCTGTCAGAGTTCAGACAACACAGTATAATGTCACCTCCCTGTATATTACCTGTCGGAGTTCAGACAACACAGTATAATGTCACCTCCCTGTATATTACCCGTCGGAGTTCAGACAACACTCAGTAAAATGTCACCTCCCTGTATATTACCTGTAGGCGTTCAGACAACACTCAGTAAAATTTTACCATCCTGTGGGATTTAGGACCACACTCAGTTCAAATGTAACCTACCTATATATTACCTGTAAGAATTCAGACAACACTTCATCTATAGGACTTGGAGCTCAGTATTGATATGAATTATCACTCAGACCCAGTTAAGGCTGTTTAGGCTGTAGTGTATTTTAACTTGAAGAATTGGTCCTCACAGGAGCTGAAAGCAATGCAGACTGATCCACCAGAAGGCATCACAGCTGAACCAGTAGAGGATGATCGTAAGTAAACAATTTTATGAAGTGTCAGATAATAAAATAAAATTTGAGATTATTTTGAAAAGGAAGCAAAGGAATATATGTATATATATGTACATGAAGATAGATTCCTGTGTATGTTTTCTTGTCATTTAGATGGAATTTGAAAATGGCTTTATTGAGTATTGACATCATATTTCTGAAATGTACAATTTTGTTAGGTTGCTTCAAACGAGCATCACCTTTGCTAATACCCAGGTCCATTTGTAAAACAACATCAATTCTGCTAATCCCCTAGTCCATTTGTAAAACAACATCAACATCATCTCTTCTAATCCCAAGGTCCATTTGTCAAATATTAACTAGTGTAATCATCTTGTCCTTCTTCACAATGAAACACAGCCTCAGTTTTTCAAACAAATATTGCTACTGCTTTATATATTTATATATATATATATATATATATATATATATATTTACCTTACCTTTTCAAATAACATTAAAATTGATGTTTGAAGGCACAAAATGTTGGAAACAATAGTACAATTGTCTTCATTCTGCACTGAACATGTGCTACATTTCTGAGTAGATATACACTTCATTCATGAGAATAAATGTACTTCATTGCATTCTGGAGTATATGTTGACTTCATTCTGCACTGAAACATCTACTACATTTTTAAATTATTGAACTACATTCTAAGTATATGGGTACTTCATTCCAGATTTGAATCTATGTGACAATTGCTTTCTTCTTTTTCTAGTCTACCACTGGGAAGCCACCATTATGGGCCCAGTAAGTACAATTTGAAATAAATACTGTATTTCTTTCCCGAAGTATTTAATCAGCAAACGATCCTTTTTTATTTTATCTATTGTGCTCAAAGTTAATTCCGTCTTACTGCTCTACCTATACAGAAGCCTTAAAGTCAGGAAGATAACACTTTAAATTTATGTTTATTTCTTTGTTTATAAATATCTGACCAAAGAAAAAATGGTGTCCATACCATCTGTTCGACAGGGGGAAATCCTTAGTGGTTAGTACATAAGTTGATACCCATGACAACATGTACAATTTCTGAACCTGAAGAGACTAACTAAAGCATGTTGCCATTGTAATGAGATCTGGTCCCATAAAAAAAGCCTCAACAATCAGGGTTTTACCTTGAGTAGTCCAAATGATTGATACAATCGCTTTGTATGAAGATGGGAATGCACTCCTGCTACAAGTGACCTATTGGTGTTTGGGTCCTCCTGTCCACACACTAGTCTTTTAATCACAAAATTAAAATCTACCGGATCAGCCTCTGCCTTCCTCAATGTTACAAACAGTATGTATTGTTATAAAAACTGAAGGAATGGGAAGTGTTCCCAATGCTATGATTGTCCCTTGTTCTGAATCTTAACGTGAAGCTAAGATCCCTTTCCAAAGTTTCTGCCCATGAAGAGATGAATTCTATCATGCTACAGTGATAAGAATCTAGTCTCAGGCTCGATATGTTTTTTGTTAAACATTATTGTTAGCTGATACTCGTGTACTATAAGCAATACCAGTCCATAGGAGACTCTTGTTGCGCGAGCTGTCAGGTTCAACAGTTGTCTACATGACAGCTAGGTACATTTGATTCTTAAAGAGGTTGGTAATATGTTCTTGTTTTCCACTGCAGGCAGATACAGTATACGCTGGAGGTAAATTTAAGCTGGATATCAATTTTCCAGTAGACTATCCATTCAAACCCCTCAAGGTAAGTCCTTATTTCTACATGTCGAAGTCCTCTATATGTAATTTCTTAACATGATGTTACAAGCACGTGTCACTGTGCTTTGTCTTGTATGAGTATTATCCTGTAGCTCATTCAGAAATTCATTTATTATATTATGTCCTATAGCCATTGTGTTTCTTCTGTCATCCTGTGCTGTGCACGTCTACCAAAGGTGCTGATATTAGGCCTGTAGCATGCTGGAATAAAGGACTACAGTATTTGTTCAAATGAATCACCTTGACCGGCTTTTAAGGCCAAAAAAAGTCATGTGTTAAAATTTTCAGTCAATTTCTCAATAACCAAAAGTCTAAGGGTGCTGATATTAGGCCTGTAGCATAGAAGTGACCATGTTTGTTCCAATAAATGACCTGGACTGACTTTCAAAGTCACAGGGGTCAAAGGTGTTTAAAATCTTTAAACAACTTCTTCTCAATAACCGAAAAGACAAGGGTGCTGATATTAGGCCTGTATCATGTTGAGATGAAGAATTACCAAGTATGTCTAAATCAGGAATTTATGCAGTATTATACTTGAGGAATAGGAGTTTAAGTTTACAGATAAAGACTTTTCTGTGTAAGCTGTTGAACAGATGACAAGTTCAGGCCCATCGAGTCTCATATCATATATAGGTCTTTAAATTCAGATGACCATTACGGTCATTGTGCCTCCTGTTGGCCATCTAAAACTTTTGGCTTTTCACTCTTATGTCATTGTCTTTCCAGCATTGAGAATTGGCGAAGATGATCCTTTTCATAATTGGCTTAAAAAAAGTCTATTTCAAATTTCTATTCAGTTGTTGTGTTGAGTTTGATGCCTGTTTGTTAATTACAGATTCAGTTTAAAACCAAGATCTACCACATCAACATTAATGTGAACGGTAATATATGTATAGATATTCTACAAGATCAATGGTCCTCAGTCATCACAGCTGCCAAGGGTAGGTAGTTCCTTATTGCTACAGCATCCCCATCACTTCTACGATAATGAATGTACACTCCTGTCACTTCTATGATTGTGATTGTACACTCCTGTCACTTCTATGATTGTGATTGTACACTCCTGTCACTTCTACGATAATGATTGTACACTCCTGTCACTTCTACGATAATGATTGTACACTCCTGTCACTTCTACGATAATGATTGTACACTACTGTCACTTCTACGATAATGATTGTACACTCCTGTCACTTCTACGACAATGATTGTACACTCCTGTCACTTCTATGATTGTGATTGTACACTCCTGTCACTTCTATGATTGTGATTGTACACTCCTGTCACTTCTATGATTGTGATTGTACACTCCTGTCACTTCTACGATAATGATTGTACACTCCTGTCACTTCTTCGATAATGATTGTACACTCCTGTCACTTCTACGATAATGATTGTACACTACTGTCACTTCTACAATAATGATTGTACACTCCTGTCACTTCTACGACAATGATTGTACACTCCTGTCACTTCTACGACAATGAATGTACACTCCTGTCACTTCTACGACAATGAATGTACACTCCTGTCACTTCTACGACAATGATTGTACACTCCTGTCACTTCTACGATTGTGATTACTCAAATTGAAGGAATCCAAGGGGGCAATTTCAGTGAGCCCTGGTAGGGGATATGAATGACTTTGACTTGGTCAGTCATCTTGTTGGTTAGTCATTTGGTGGTCAGTCATCTGCTTGGTCAGTCATCTAGTTGGTCAGTCATCTAATTGGTCAGTCATCTTGTTGGTCAGTCATCTGGTTGGTCAGTCAACTAGTTGGTCAGTCAACTAGTTGGTCAGTAATCTTGTTGGTCAGTCATCTGGGTGGTCTGTCATCTAATTGGTCATTCATATGCTTGGTAAGTCATCTTGTTGGTCAGTCATCTGGTTGGTCAGTCAACTAATTGGTCAGTCATCTGCTTGGTCAATCATCTAGTTGGTCAGTCAACTAGTTGGTCAGTCATCTGCTTGGTCAGTCATCTAGTTGGTCAGTCATCTAATTGGTCAGTCATCTGCTTGGTAAGTCATCTTGTTGGTCAGTCATCTGGTTGGTCAGTCAACTAGTTGGTCAGTCAACTAGTTGGTCAGTAATCTTGTTGGTCAGTCATCTGGGTGGTCAGTCATCTGCTTGTTGGTCAGTCATCTGGTTGGTCAGTCAACTAGTTGGTCAGTCATCTAATTGTTCATTCATCTGCTTGGTAAGTCATCTTGTTGGTCAGTCATCTGGTTGGTCAGTCAACTAGTTGGTCAGTCATCTGCTTGGTCAGTCATCTGGTTGGTCAGTCAACTAGTTGGTTAGTCATCTAGTTGGTCAGTCATCTAATTGGTCAGTCATCTGCTTGGTAAGTCATCTTGTTGGTCAGTCATCTGGGTGGTCAGTCAAATAGTTGGTCAGTCATCTAATTGGTCAGTCATCTACTTGGTCAGTCATCTTGTTGGTTAGTCATTTGGTGGTCAGTCATCTGCTTGGTCAATCATCTAGTTGGTCAGTCAACTAGTTGGTCAGTCATCTGCTTGGTCAGTCATCTAGTTGGTCAGTAATCTAATTGGTCAGTCATCTGCTTGGTAAGTCATCTTGCTGGTCAGTCATCTGGTTGGTCAGTCAACTAGTTGGTCAGTCATATGGTTGGTCAGTCAACTAGTTGGTTAGTCATCTAGTTGGTCAGTCATCTAATTGGTCAGTCATCTGCTTGGTAAGTCATCTTGTTGGTCAGTCATCTGGTTGGTCAGTCAACTAGTTGGTCAGTCAACTAGTTGGTCAGTCATCTTGTTGGTCAGTCATCTGGGTGGTCAGTCATGTAATTGGTCAGTTAACTAGTTGGTCAGTCTACTAGTTGGTCAGTTATCTGCTTGGTCAGTCATCTTGTTGGTTAGTCATTTGGTGGTCAGTCATCTGCTTGGTCAATCATCTAGTTGGTCAGTCAACTAGTTGGTCAGCCATCTTATGGGTCAGTCATCTGCTTGGCCAGTCATCTAGTTGGTCAGTCAACTAGTTGGTCAGTTATCTGCTTGGTCAATCATCTGGATGGTCAGTCAACTAGTTGGTCAGTCATCTGCTTGGTCAGTCATCTTGTTGGTCAGTCATCTGGTTGGTCAGTCATCTAATTGGTCAGTCATCTGCTTGGTAAGTCATCTTGTTGGTCAGTCATCTGGTTGGTCAGTCAACTAGTTGGTCAGTCAACTAGTTGGTCAGTCAACTAGTTGGTCAGTCATCTGCTTGGTCAGTCATCTAGTTGGTCAGTCATCTAGTTGGTCAGTCATCTAATTGGTCAGTCATCTGCTTGGTCAGTCATCTTGTTGGTCTGTCATCTGGTTGGTCAGTCAACTAGTTGGTCAGTCAACTAGTTGGTCAGTCATCTTGTTGGTCAGTCATCTTGGTCTGTCATCTAATTGGTCATATGCTTGGTAGTCATCTTGTTGGTCAGTCATCTAATTCATCTTGGTCAGTCATCTGTTGGTCACTGATCTGCTTGATCAGTCATCTGGTTAGTCAGTCATTTGGTGGTCAGTCATCTAGTTGGTCGGTCATCTAGTTGGTCAGTCAACTAGTTGGTCAGTCATCTGCTTGGTCAGTCATCTTGTTGGTCAGTTATCTGATAGGTCAGTCAACTAGTTGGTCAGTCATTTGCTTGGTCAGTCATCTGGTTGGTCAGTCATCTAATAGGTCAGTCAACTAGTTGGTCAGTTATCTGCTTTGTCAGTCATCTAGTTGGTCAGTAATCTAATTGATCAGTCATCTGCTTGGTAAGTCATCGTGTTAATCAGTCATCTGGGTGGTCAGTCAACTAGTTGGTCAGTCATCTGGGTGGTCAGTCAACTAGTTGGTCATTCATCTAATTGGTCAGAATCTGCTTGGTCAGTCATCTGCTTGGTCAGTCATTTGGTGGTCAGTCATCTAGTTGGTCAGTCATCTGGTTGGTCAGTCAACTAGTTGGTCAGTTATCTGGTTGGTCAGTCATCTGGTTGGTCAGTAATCTTTTTAGTCTGTCTAATTTAGGCATGACTCAATGTTTAAAATAGCTTTTGATATTTAAAGTTTTTGCAGCTACTTCCATTCTGAACATGGTTATTATGAGTCCTAGTTGCAGGTGTTCTTCACATTATATAATCATGATCCAGTTAATAAAATGGTTGACGGTGGATTTTTGAAAAGTTTGATGATTGTTAATTTCTAACATACGAGATTGTAGCACCAATTTGTCGATATCTTACATTGTAGCCTGCAACAGTTAAAGTATCCACTCATTCTTAAGGACAACCATTTTATCTCTTGAAATTCTGCAAAGATTTTTGTGAACTTTCATATTTAGATAATATTTTAATCTTACAAAAAGATTAATCCATGTTGTGTTGGTATAATTATCTTGAACACAATCTATAAATAGAAAAGAATAAGGATCAGATGATGTTTGATACACGGATCCCTTTACAATGATGTCCTGTTCGATGACCTCGAAATATTGTTACATATTTAAAACTCCTTTTATTGATATTTTTACAGTTCTGTTGTCGGTGAGTTCCCTACTCTCGGATCCTAACCCTAACCACCCACTGATGCCTGATCTCGCTCAGCTCTATGTAACAAACCGAACACAATATGATGCCAATGCTAGACAATGGACAAAAGAGTATGCGATGTGATGACATCTGTGTTACATTTCTCATGTTAGGTGTGCTGATGTCAATTACAATCGAGATGAAAGCTTTTGACATACGTGAAAGCTGTATATATTTGAAAGCTGGCAGTATTACCAAGAGATTTTCTCTTTAATGTATAGAAGCTTCAGCAATTAGCTTACTATCATCAGATGGTTTGCTGTTTCAATCACATGACACTTTTAACTCAACAATTTTTTTGTTGTCCAATACTGATATTTCATTACATAACTAATGCACACACTAAAACACTAACCTTCGTCAATCAGACAACACCTAGAGATAGGAGGAGTCACAGAGATAGCAAAACTTGTAACCAGCCAACAAGCATATAACTAATTGAAATGAACATCTCTGTTAATGATGAAATGTACACTGATAGATGTTCTTCCATTTAAGGTAAAGCGGAATTAAGTACTGTACAACTTGTAATTTTCAGGGGTCAAAATTTTCATGAATTTTTTAATAACAACCAAATTATATTTTAATGAAAGAAACTTTTGCAATGTAGATGTAAAAGAACATCTTATATACACGTGTCTCATTATTTCATAGATTAAATTTTTGCGGCCTCTTTTATGTACTGTGAAATAGCGTGATTATGAAAGTGCATTTATCCAGTGATAATGGCTTGATTTGTAATAGGCCCACCCTATCGTTGTTACTTATATCCTATTTCATTGTTATGTTACACACATTTGTAGAAGAATGGCCCCACAGACTTATTGTGGGTAAATAACAATAGATAAATATTAGCTATATATATTAACATTATGGTCTTTTTTATTTTGTTTGTTTGTTTGTTTATCTAATTTTTTTACAACTTTTAATTTGGACAAATGTTGGATATGTGCATATCAATGTCATTTATGTCATTATAAACTGACATCATCATTGTTCCGCCCTCAGTGTTAGGAAAAACTGAAGAAAAAAAGATATTTATTCTAGAAGAAATGGCAGGTAGGAAATCAATGATAGTTGTTTGTTTGTAAATTAATGCCTAGTGCTATATTTTAAAGGTTGTATTAGACAATGATTGCCTGTTTTTTTTGTTAAACACAAAAGTTTTACAATATTGTTTTTTTTTAAAAAGAAGAAAAGTGTCTATTTCAATACCAATAACAGTACCACATTTTACAAAGAAAATTTTATTGTTTTTTTAAATTTTTTTTTTCAGAAAATCATTCACCTCATCTGATTCCTAACACTTGAAAAAAACCATACATTTTTCCATTTTAACATTGCTAAGCCAGAAGTTCCGCTCAGTATCAGAATTTCTGTGGTAGCTGTTGATTGCTGACAGAAAAACGTACAACATAGGGTCCAGTGGAAGAGTCATCATGATCTCGTCGAGGATTGATCTTTTGTCTTTTGTGATACAAAGTTTAACACATTTTAATCCTGATTACGCAATGAAGTTTGCATTTCTGCAACAGGTGCCATGATTAGATCTAAGATCAAATATGAAATGTAGTATCCGGTTTTTATTGTAAATTATTGTTTTAGTGGTGTTTTGCCCTTGCCTCATGTATTTGAATTATGATTTTGCAAACAGCAATTATTATTTTGTTTTGTTGTCGATAGAGATGTTACGTTTGCGTCCGTTTCCAGAACAAGGTTGACCATTGCAGTGTTAAATAAAGAGAATTTTCAAAAGCTTTGGTTTTTATATTACTCTATAAGTGAGCAAACCTGTTTACTTATCCATAGAGCTATCCTGATGGATATCATCCCAAATGTCATAAAGATGGACAATGTAAACAAAACCAAATATCATAATGATAGACAATGTAAACAAAACCAAATATCATAATGATAGACAATGTAAACAAACCAAATATCATAATGTTGGAGGTAGTAAACAAAACCAAATATTATAATGATGGACAATGTAAACAAACAAAATATCATAATGATGGACAATGTAAACAAAACCAAATGTCATAATGATGGACAATGTAAACAAATATCATAATGATAGACAATGTAAACAAAACCAAATATCATAATGATAGACAATGTAAACAAAACCAAATATCATAATGTTGGACAATATAAACAAATATCATAATGATGGACAATGTAAACAAACCAAATATCATAATGATAGACAATGTAAACAAATATCATAATGATGGACAATGTAAACAAAACCAAATATCATAATGATGGACAATGTAAACAAAACCAAATATCATAATGATAGACAATGTAAACAAAACCAAATATCATAATGATGGAGGTACAATGTAAACAAATATTATAATGATGGACAATGTAAACAAACAAAATATCATAATGATGGACAATGTAAACAAAACCAAATGTCATAATGATGGACAATGTAAACAAATATCATAATGATAGACAATGTAAACAAAACCAAATATCATAATGATAGACAATGTAAACAAAACCAAATATCATAATGTTGGACAATATAAACAAATATCATAATGATGGACAATGTAAACAAACCAAATATCATAATGATAGACAATGTACAAAACAAACAAAACCAAATATCATAATGTTGGACAATGTAAACAAATATCATAATGATGGACAATGTAAACAAAACCAAATATCATAATGATAGACAATGTAAACAAAACCAAATATCATAATGTTGGACAATATAAACAAATATCATAATGATGGACAATGTAAACAAACCAAATATCATAATGATGGACAATGTAAACAAAACCAAATGTCATAATGATAGACAATGTAAACAAAACCAAATATCATAATGATAGACAATGTAAACAAAACCAAATATCATAATGATGGACAATGTAAACAAACCAAATATCATAATGTTGGACAATGTAAACAAAACCAAATATCATAATGATGGACAATGTAAACAAAACCAAATATCATAATGATGGAAACAAATATCATAATGTAAATGTAAACAAAACCAAATATCATAATGATAGACAATGTAAACAAAACCAAATATCATAATGATGGACAATGTAAACAAATATCAAATGTCATAATGATGGACAATGTAAACAAAACCAAATATCATAATGATAGACAATGTAAACAAAACCAAATGATGGACAATGTAAACAAAACCAAATATCATAATGATGGACAATGTAAACAAAACCAAATATCATAATGATGGACAATGTAAACAAAACCAAATATCATAATGATGGACAATGTAAACAAAACAAAATATCATAATGATAGACAAAGTAAACAAATATCATAATGATGGACAATGTAAACCAAATATCATAATGATGGACAATGTAAACAAAACCAAATATCATAATGATGGACAATGTAAACAAATATCATAATGATGGACAATGTAAACAAATATATGATGGACAATGTAAACAAAACCAAATATCATAATGATGATGGACAATGTAAACAAATATCATAATGATGGACAATGTAAACAAAACCAAATATCATAATGATGACAATGTAAACAAAACCAAATATCATAATGATGGACAATGTAAACAAAACCAAATATCATAATGATGGACAATGTATATCATGATGATGGACAATGTAAACAAAACCAAATATCATCATAATGTAAACAAATATCATAATGATAGACAATGTAAACAAAACCAAATATCATAATGATGGACAATGTAAACAAAACCAAATGTCATAATGATAGACAATGTAAACAAAACCAAATATCATAATGATAGACAATGTAAACAAAACCAAATATCATAATGTAACCAAATATCATAATGATAGACAATGTAAACAAATATCATAATGATGGACAATGTAAACAAAACCAAATATCATAATGATGGACAATGTAAACAAAACCAAATATCATAATGATGGGCAATGTGAACAAAACCAAATATCATACTGATGGACAATGTAAACAAATATAATGATGGACAATGTAAACAAATATAATGATGGACAATGTAAACAAAACCAAATATCATAATGATGGACAATGTAAACAAATATCATAATGATGGACAATGTAAACAAAACCAAATATCATAATGTTGGACAATGTAAACAAATATAATGATGGACAATGTAAACAAAACCAAATATCATAATGTTGGACAATGTAAACAAATATCATAATGATGGACAATGTAAACAAATATAATGATGGACAATGTAAACAAATATAATGATGGACAATGTAAACAAATATAATGATGGACAATGTAAACAAAACCAAATATCATAATGATGGACAATGTAAACAAAACCAAATATCATAATGTTGGACAATGTAAACAAATATAATGATGGACAATGTAAACAAAACCAAATATCATAATGTTGGACAATGTAAACAAATATCATAATGATGGACAATGTAAACAAATATAATGATGGACAATGTAAACAAAACCAAATATCATAATGATGGACAATGTAAACAAATATCATAATGATGGACAATGTAAACAAAACCAAATATCATAATGATTGACAATGTAAACAAAACCAAATATCATAATGATGGACAATGTAAACAAAACCAAATATCATGATGATAGACAATGTAAACAAATATCATAATGATGGACAATGTAAACAAAACCAAATATCATAATGATAGACAATGTAAACAAATATCATAATGATGGACAATGTGAACAAAACCAAATATCATAATGATAGACAATGTAAACAAAACCAAATATCATAATGATGGACAATGTAAACAAATATCATAATGATGGACAATGTAAACAAAACCAAATATCATAATGATGGACAATGTAAACAAAACCAAATATCATAATGATGGACAATGTAAACAAAACCAAATATCATAATGATGGACAATGTAAACAAATATCATAATGATGGACAATGTAAACAAAACCAAATATCATAATGATTGACAATGTAAACAAAACCAAATATCATAATGATTGACAATGTAAACAAAACCAAATATCATAATGATGGACAATGTAAACAAAACCAAAATCAAAATAGACAATGTAAACAAATATCATAATGATAGACAATGTAAACAAAACCAAATATCATAATGATAGACAATGTAAACAAATATCATAATGATGGACAATGTGAACAAACCAAATATCATAATGATGGACAATGTAAACAAAACCAAATATCATAATGATTGACAATGTAAACAAAACCAAATATCATAATGATGGACAATGTAAACAAATATCATAATGATGGACAATGTAAACAAAACCAAATATCATAATGTTGGACAATGTAAACAATTATCATGATGATGGACAATGTAAACAAAACCAAATATCATAATGATTGACAATGTAAACAAAACCAAATATCATAATGATGGACAATGTAAACAAATATCATAATGATGGACAATGTAAACCAAAACCAAATATCATAATGTTGGACAATGTAAACAAAAACTGAATTGTATAAAACTATGTGTATTGATGGTCCTACCTAACTTTATAAGCAACAGCAACAGTTTGGCAGGGTTGAACAATATATGATTGTGTCATACCAAAGAATTCTTGTATTGTAATGAATATACAGATATTGAAATGGTAATATTTGGCGAAAGAGAGAAAACAGTGCCACATGTTAAGATGATAAGTCAAGCCAATTAAGGTTTAATTTGTTATAATCTGAGAGAGGAGATATCAGGACAAGATAAAATGCTTAACAGAACAAAGGGCAATAACTCCTTCAAAAATTGCTGCATCACACTGTTGTTCAGGAAAACACAATTTCGTGTTATAGTTGTAAAGCCTACCAAGTTGATAAGAGATTGGATGAAAACAGAGAGACCTAAAATCATGTTTAATATCCTTGTCAGAATAACTGGCAGTATCTCTTCCAAATAAAACCAAATCAACCTGCTGTTCAAAAACACAACTTCATATCATGATTGTTAAGTTTTAAAAGTTTGAAAATAGGGAGATCAATAGACAAATGAAACAGACGACAGGCCAGGAGGAGGACACCCTACCATAAAAGTTTGTAATTGCATCTAAAAAGAGTGCTTCAACACATCAGTCCCCCCCTCCTCCCACCCACTCTTTTGGATTACTTTCATAATATCAACCTTACAAAACTTTAATTTTAGAAATTTTGCCCCCTAAATGTTGGCAGAAAAAGACTTAATGAAATGATTAATACAAGAAACTTGAAAGCTATCTTGATATTAGCTAGATGGAAATTTAAAAGCAATGATAGATGAGATTGAAATTTGTAACTAATGATGATGTGACCTTTGACCCGTAAATATTGACAGATAAACGCCTTTTATGACTTAAATGTGCAATGCATATACAGTGGTTATGAGTACCCTGTAAACTTATGATCTAACAATCGAGTATGAACAACGGAGTAGAAAAATTATAATGATTCCATATTTAACAAACACGTCTAAGATTATATTTACCAATGCAATTTCAATTAAAGAAGAGTACCATTAATACATTGGGGGCAATGAAACGACGAACTTTTGTGTAGCGTAGGATCGTCCCTGATCACATATACACAGACACATACACAGACACAAGTGCCGGATCGTCTCTGATCACAAATACACAGACACAAATGTCAGATCGTCCCTGATCACAAATACACAGACACAAATGTCAGATCGTCCCTGATCGCACATTTGGAGACACAAATGTCGGATCC